GCGGTCGCAGTCCGCGCCTTTGTGGGGGGGTACTGTCACGCCCTGGCTCTGGGACTCTGTTATGTTGAGCCAGGGTGTGTGGTTTCTATGTGTTTTGTGTGCTAGGGTTATTATCTAGTTATTTTGTTTCTATGTTGGCCGGTGTGGTTCTCAATCAGAGGCAACGTGTATCAGCTGTTGCTTGTTGTCTCTGATTGGGAACCATACTTAGGCAGCCTGTTTTCCACAGTGTGTTGTGGGATCTTGTTCCGTATGGTTTGTATTGTGACCAAGGACTTCACGTTTCGTATCGTTTGTTGTTTTGTTCGTGTGATCGTTCAATAAATAAAGTATGTTCACATTCCACGCTGCGCATTGGTCCACTTCTCAAGACGATCGTGACAGAAGATCCCACCAATACTGGACCAAGCAGCGTGTTTCGGAGCTAACGCCGGGTAAGGAGATGGAGAAGTTGGCGATGGCCCAGGTGGGCCAATGGTGGTCCTGGGAGGACATGTTCGAGGGCAGAGGACCATGGGCAAAGGTTAAAGCCTTGGCGAGAGATAGGTACGGCACCAACAGTGTCATCGTCGGACAGGCGAGAGGCAACCCCAAGACATTTTTAGGGGGGGGCACATGGCATGGACGACGGGGCTGCAGGAGGCAGATAAGGGGCGAGTTTGTGGACGAGGAGAGAAGGCCACCGGGTTACGGGAGCCATTGGTGATTAGAGGGAGGGAAAGTGTAGAGGCACGGCGAGAGGTACTGAAGTGTGTTGCCAGTCCGGTCCGGCCCGTTCCTGATCCCCGTATAAGGCCAGTGGTGTGTGTTCCCAGTGCTGTCCGGCCTGTTCCTGTCCCTCGCACCAAGCCTGTGATGCGCGTCGCCAGCCCGGCCCGGCCTGTTCCTGCCCCTCGCACCAAGCCTGTGGTGCGCGTCGCCAGCCCGGCCCGGCCTGTTCCTGCCCCTCGCACCAAGCCAATGGTGCGCGTTGCCAGCCCGGCCCGGCCTGTTCCTGCTCCCCGCACCAAGCCTATGGTGCGCGTCGCCAGCCCGGCCCGGCCTGTTCCTGCTCCCCGCACCAAGCCAATGGCGCGCTTCGTCAGCCCGGTCCGGCCTGTTCCTGCTCCCCGCACCAAGCCAGTGGTGCGCTTCGTCAGCCCGGTTCGGCCCGTCCCTGCTCCCCGCACCAAGCCAATGGTGCGCGTCGTCAGCCCGGTCCGGCCTGTTCCTGCTCCCCGCACCAAGCCAGTGGTGCGCTTCGTCAGCCCGGTTCAGCCCGTCCCTGCTCCCCGCACCAAGCCAATGGTGCGCGTCGTCAGCCCGGTCCGGCCCGTCCCTGCTCCCCGCACCAAGCCTGTGGTGCGCGTCGTCAGTCCGGCACAGCCCGTGCCTGTTCCACTCCGGAGCTAGAGCAATCCGCTCCACCAGTGTTCAGTCCAGCTCCGGCCAGCAGGGCCAGACCGGACCAGGGGCGCTTTGGGGGGTTGGTTGGAGGGTGGGGGTCAAGCCTGGAGCCGGAACCGCCTCCGAGGAGGAATGCCCACCCGGCCCTCCCCTGTTCGGTTTATGTTTGGCGCGGTCGCAGTCCGCGCCTTTGGGGGGGGGGTTACTGTCACGCCCTGGCTCTGGGACTCTTATATGTTGAGCCAGGGTGTGTAGTTTCTATGTGTTTGTGTTCTGTGGTTAAGTTCTAGTGCTTGTGTTTCTATGTTGGCCGGGGTGGTTCTCAATCAGAGGCAACGTGAATCAGCTGTTGCTTGTTGTCTCTGATTGGGAACCATACTTAGGCAGCCGTTTGGGCATTGTCATTTGTGGGATCTTGTTCCGTATGGTTTGTATTGTAACCAAGGACTTCACGTTTCGTATCGTTTGTTGTTTTGTTCGTGTGATCATTCAAATTAAAAGTATGTTCGCATTCCACGCTGCGCCTTGGTCCTCTGTGTTCGACTATCGTGACAATATAGCTGAACTAGGGCTGGGCGATATGGCCTAAAAATGGTATCTCCATTTTTTTCAAACTCATGGGCGGTTCTCTAAATAAGCTTTGTGTATAATTAACGGGAAAATACACTGCATTTCAAACAGTCAACAATAATGTAATGAATTCAGGGCTTGTGAAATTCTACCTAGGCTAAATATAAGCCTTCTACAACCATAAGACCCACTAATAATTGAATTATTTATCAAAATAGTTGAACATGCTTTTTTGCAATAATCACTGATCTGGCTTTCAAGTCTGTCTATGAAAATGCCCTTTTGTTTACAAATGTAACCACAACCATGCATAATGCACATTCACTAATAATGACCAAGTTCTTGTAGCAGGCGTCATAGAAAATTAACACAGGTCTCTCAATAATCTTTAAAGCACAAGCCCACGTTGCTAGTGAGTAGCCAGCTAATCTTTATATTTAAAGTTTAGCCAACTTGGATCTATTTGATAGCTAAGGTAGAACAGTTTAATTGTTATGAACACACCCCTCTGTCCGTCTCCAACTGTTTGAATAGCATGCTAGCCTGTCCACTTTGTTCAGATGTTGAAACCAATTATTTCTCAGAATGAGAACAGGTTGCCAATTTTATTCTCATTGCACTTTTATAAAACACAGACTAGTCAGCTAGAATAACAGTTTGTGTCTAAAATGCTGCTAGCGGTCTGTGGTACCGCAATGCTGTGCACAACAGAAACTGAGCATTCATTTTCCAGAATCAATGTTAATTGATTCTCCCGTTTTAGTAGGGTCTGCTCTTCGCACAATTTGAGGAGTTGAAACATAAAAAGGGTATCGTTAGAAAGGTTTCCTTTTTTACAGTAAAATAATGTCTCAATGTGTTTCAATGTCCATATGGTTGATTCTGTTGGACCAAACCTCAAATGCAAATAGCAAGTTGAAACTGCTTCTTGTAAGAGAGGAAGAAGTGATCTTTCATCTTTGTTGTTGCTATGCGTGACAGAGGGAGGGGCTTGGTGTCTGTGTGCAAGTGGGAAGGTGCACAGTTCACACAGCAAAGAAGGAGCAAAGCAGACAAGACCGAAAAGACAAAATGATAACAAGCAGACAGATAAGCTCATAAAAACAGACATCTGGAATATCGCGCAAAAACATACATTTCAATTAATCAAATGAATTAGTGATATCGCCCAGCCCTAAGCTAAATCAACACAAACTTTGAATTTTAGGTTGAGTGAACATACAATTAAACTTTAGAATTAATTCTACCTTATTTGCATATTTCCCAGTGTGTCTTGCCTTTCGAGTAGTTACCATCTATTACTGTATTTGTTAACAGAGGACACATGGTTGTTGTATTCATTGGCTTTCAGTCCTGTAGCCTTCACCAAGTGAGTGTCCAAGTGAATGTTATGTTAAAAATTAAACTCTTTATAAAAAAACATTTACATGTGTGGTGGAGTAGTTGATGGTGGGTCAACCATGTTTTGTGGAAGGGGGAAGGGATGGGGTCTGGGCTGGCAGTGGTTGGATGGAGGGGGCAGTTGTGGTAGCCGCCGCTGTGTCCAGGGTTTGTGAAGGGGTTGGTGCTGGGAATGGAACTAGGAACCATGCTGTTGCTGGGGCCAGGACTGAAAACCATGAGTTGGTGCTGGGTCTGGTGCTGGGGCGGGGAACCAGGAACCGGAAACTGGGGCTGGTGCAGGGTCAGTATCTGGGTCTGTACAGGGGGGAGGAAGAACAACCTGAGGAGTAAACAGACACACTAGGAAGCCCAAGACCCGGAGGTCAGTGGGGGCACTCCTCTGTGGCCTGCTCGCTCCAGACGTAGGTCTAGATCTTTGGTCCTTCCTCTGCACCTCTTCTGGTGTGGTGGTGACTGATTCCCGGTTCTGATCTGGTTCTGGTTCTGTGAGAGGGATAGGTGTAGAGGGGGAAGGTGGGGTGGAGAGTATGTCCTTCAGCCTGGGCTGGTGCTGGGGGAGGAGTGATGCGGCGGCAAGGCTGGACGCTGGAGGCTGGAGGACAGAGGGAACAAACAGGGCCCAGACCTGCCTGGCCACGTAGCACTCACAAACATTTGGTTGGTGTTTTCAGTTCTCTGTACGTACCTTGTGCCGTTTATCGATGGATTCCCTATTGGGGAGGCAACCATGAACAGCTGTCTGAAGAATGTCTTTCTGTTCTGAGGGTATTGTCAGGGTCATGATGATGGGTTATTGGGAGGGTCTGGGGTTGGTCATGCCATTGCAATGTTCGATGAGGGCCTCCAGTGGGTCATTGGTGTTGTTGGATGGCTCTTGGTTGTCCATGATTCTTGGCATGCCTCCCCACTGACTGCCTCGCGGCCCGCTGAACTTACTGGGTGGTGGGATGAGGGGTGATGGAAGGGGTGAAGGGGGTGGGGGCCATTTCTGGGACGTCTTGGGTGGTGTCTCGGTTGGTGTCTGTGGGGTTGTCTGAGTCTGGGTATGGGTCTTTGTCGTTGTTGCTTGGTGATGAGGATGGGGGGTTGGTGTTGGTGGCGTTGGCGTTGGCCTTTTCCCTGCCGGCGTATGAATTGGGGCAGGTTCTAAAGAAGTGTCCCCCTTTCCCGCACAGGTTACAGGGTCGTGTAGAGGTACAGTCCGAGATGGGATGATCCCCTTTACAGTTTCCTCAGATTGTGGCTGTGCTGGCTGCACAGTTGGGGCATGCTGTAGTAGTGGACGGAGACCCTGCTGTTCCCCAATGTGGAAGAGGAGGGTTGGAAGGGTGCTGGTTCTGGTCTTGGTGTAGTCTAGTCTGGTCCTGGGTCTGCTACGTTCCTGCAGGGGGAGAAAGGACAACCTCAGAGTGAGCAAACACACCAGAAAGGCTGTGACCTTGAGGTCAATGTAGGTACTCCCCTGTGGTCTGCTCGCTCCAGGCATAGGTTGGTATCTTTAAGGGGTTCCTTCCTCTGTGCCCTGGATGTGGTGGTGTTCTATGGTCTGGTCTGGTCTCTCCTTCTGGTGAACTGTTCCAGATGGTTGGTGGTCGGCTGGTCCTGGTCTGGTCTGGTCGGTGGTGGCCTGAGGAGCGCAGATGGAGAAAAAGGCAGGGGAGGAGGGCTACAGGCCAAGGGTAGAGGAAGTAGGGCTCACCTCGACAGTGCTCTACTCAACTCAAGGCCTGCAGTCCGTCGTCTCCTCCTCGGGCAGCTGGTCCAGGTCGGTCTGTGGACTCAGGTCAGGCCGTGGTCAAACCACTGTTACCCTTCCTTCTTCCCCAGTCCTTCTGGTACCGGCTTAGTCCGCTGGACCAAGGAGGCAGTGCCTGCCGTGGTCAAGCCACTGTTACTGTTTCCTGTTCCAAAGAAAAGGATAGTGAGAAGAGAGGGTAGAGAGAGGGACACAACCCCAGAAAATCTCCAGCACACAGGCATGTGAGTAATGAAGAGAAGTGAGCTTTTAATCACCTGCAACCTGCATTGAGAATGACTGCCAGTGTAGGGAAGGTTGGATTATTGAGACTACCTAAATAATATAAAGTGGAACAGCCGTCTCAGTAACGGGTGCAATAAATCCAACAACTAACCAATTGGATTAGTTTAGAAAAAGGTGTGTTATTTATGTTTGTGTAACATAAGATTAATCAACCAGTCAATGTACATCAACAACACAGGTATTGAAACAATTCTGAAAATCAACCTGCAATAGAGCATGCTGGGAAATATGATAGTGATGGTATGGTTTTGAGCAAACATGACTTTGTAATTTTACTCAACAAGCTTGTTAAAATTCAGCGCACTTCGAGCAGAGTTTGTTGCGTAAATTTGACATTTTAGTAATTTAGCAGACACTCTTATCCAGAGTGACTTACAAGAGCAATTAGGGTTAAGTGCCTTCCTCAAGGGCGCATCGACAGATTTTTCACCTCGCGGATTCGAACCAGCGACCTTTCAGTTACTGGTCCAATGCACTTTAACCGCTAGGCTACCTGCCGCCCCATACATATGTATAGATTGCAATTAATTACTGCTACAATGCTATTTGGGTTGTTAATCAGATTCGTCCTGCCGTTCTTGTTTTCTTGACTTTTTTGTATATATTTTTGTCTTCAATTGTAATTGTTTGACGTTTTACTGTATTTTTAGGAGCTAGTAACATAAGCATTTCGCTGCACCTGCTATAACACCTGCTATAACACCTGCTAAACTGTGTATGCGACCAATAAACTTTGATTTGATTTTAACACATAAGTTCAAATCCTCGTCTTTTTAAAGTCCACTCAACTCACATAATAACGCTGATTAAGCCATTGGTTAAGTTGGCTTTTTTACAGTGCATGCAATTACAGTAAAATACAAACCCCAATCTCCTGTCAATTTATTTAATTAATTAATTGATTACATTTACAATAGAATTTACTTTTTTTTTACAGAATAATACTGTGTCATTGGTTACTGTACTTACTTACCACTAGCTGCCTGTAAGTTACTGTCAAATTCACGGCAACCCCTTTACAGTGTAAATTGCATCTTCGATCCTTGAATTGAATTTCAATGAATCTCCTGAATTGTAGTGGGGTTGAACCCAAACCTGTGTGTTACACCGGCAGCTTGACCTTAGGATCCGACTGTTAACCTTTTTCTCTCTTTGCACTCACAGGTTTTCACTGGTATCTTTGCTGGTGAGATGTTTGCCAAGCTGGCTGCCATGGATCCATACTACTACTTCCAGGAGGGCTGGAATTGTTTTGACAGCTTCATCGTGACCCTCAGTTTAGTCGAGCTGGTATTGGCTGATATTGAGGGTCTGTCTGTGCTCAGGTCATTCCGATTGGTGAGTAAGAAAAGGTGTGGATTGGAATGAGGGACCGTATTGATAACCCTCTATGGTGCTGATGTCCAGACAATTCACAGCAGGTGGGGGAAAGGGTTCACTCTACAGAGTTAGCTTGACATGACTAATGCCCAAATACTCATACAGTATGATCAACATTTATTGAAACTTAAACCCCCCCCCCCCCCCATTCAATACTGTCTCCCCCCCCTCCCTTCCCCCCCTGTCTCTTGTCTAGCTGAGAGTGTTCAAGCTGGCCAAGTCGTGGCCCACACTCAACATGCTGATCAAAATCATTCATTCTTCTGTGGGAGCCCTGGGAAACTTGACCTTGGTGCTGGCCCTTATCGTCTTCATCTTCGCCGTGGTTGGCATGCAACTGTTTGGAAAGAACTACAAGGACTGTGTTTGTAAGATCGCTATAAGCTGTAAGCTGCCCCGTTGGCACATGAACGACTTCTTTCACTCATTTCTCATGGTGTTTCGAGTTCTGTGTGGGGAGTGGATCGAGTCCATGTGGGACTGCATGGAGGTGGCCGGCCAGAACATGTGCATGATCGTCTTCTTGATGGTCATGGTCATAGGCAACTTGGTGGTAAGAAAAATAACCATTGAAATATGGGATAGACTATAAGGACACAGCTGATGCTTAAACCGACTAGCAAAAAACTAAAACGAACCCTTACCTTAACTCTAACCTTAAGCAAATCCTTAACCCTGACCATAACCCTAACCTAATTTGATACAATTCTGAATTGAAATATCGGTTTGGGCGTCAGTTGTGTCCTAATAGCCTTTTCCTTGAATTATCCATATTCGAGTATCAGTTTCTTGCATACCCTACCTTTGAAGATCAGGCCTCTCTTTACTTAGTAAACTATGGTTTGTGCATTAGCATTTTGGTCTGGTTAAGCCTGATGTCAGTTAGTTAGCGGTTAGTGACACATCTGCTAAGACCTTCTCTCTGTGCACGGCCCTCTCCCCAGGTGTTGAACCTGTTCCTTGCCTTGTTGCTGAGCTCGTTCAGCGCAGACAACCTGGCACCCTCGGACGATGATGGAGAACAGAACAACCTGCAAATAGCCGTCGGTCGAATAAAGACGGGGATTGCCTGGGCCAAGGTCTTTGTAGCCGAGGTTATGAAAAAGGTACACTGTGATGTTATGTTCTCTATGTTCTGTTATGTATGACATCACTCTGATGTCATTGTGGTATTGTTTCTGTGTTGTTTTTACACCAAGACAAACCCCTGTCACAATGTACTTGATTGCCAGTAGTTTCTTCCTGACTGATTTTAAATATAATTCTGATTGTGAGGAGGAGGAAGAAGCAGAGGACGAGCAGAAGCCTCTTGATGAGTTTGACGAGAAGCTTAACTGCATCGCGAACCAGAAGGGCATAGACATCAACCGCGAGCTGGACTACATCAACGGTACTACCAGCGGCATCGGCAGCAGCGTGGGCAAGTACATGATCGACGAGGACCATATGTCCTTCATCCACAATCCCAACCTGACCGTGTGCGTTCCCATTGCGGTCGGGGAGTCAGACTTCGATAACCTCAACACTGAGGACTTCAGCAGCGAGTCGGACGCGGAGAACAGCAAAGACGTGAGTATGGAGGGCTGGGAGTGATATATTCTTTGTTTGTTATTTAAATATAGAAATGTATACTTTTGGGTGGGGGCATAGGGTTATATAAGGGGTGAGGAGGGTGGTTCATCAGAAAATGGGGCAGGGTGTTTTGGGTGCTTGGTTGGGTGGAAGGTTTTATGAAGTTTTGTTGGAGATTTAGGATAAGTTGTGAATTGAGTTGTTGAGACTTGATCAAATGAAGTGGTTCATCATTCTCTGTGAATTGGAGTGATGCGTTAGCATCCACTCCTCTAAGATTGCTCATACTTCTGACTTCTTAGAAGTTGTTTGTAGGTTTTCCCAGAATCTAAATAAATTAGCTAGCTTCACTACATAGCCGCAAAACTGACAAACATTCATTCTCAAAAACGACTTCATTTCAAAGGAGTGCTATACTGCACATGTGCAGTTCGGTGCAGCTCGTTAACTTGAGGTGATCACGTGTTTCTTCATAGCTAGCTTGGTGGCCATGACACTGCTAGTTAGCGTGATCAGGGGTTTGTATTGGAATGGCCGTTAGAAATGCCTCTTTCTGTAGCTAAACCTCAACTAACTTAACATGTTTCATAGCTAAACCAACTAGTTAGTTAGCTAACTGCACAACTAACACAATGTATTTTTCAAACCTAGACAGCTAGCTACTGAAACAAATGCAAACGAATCTGTAACTCAAATCAGAAATCAGAACAGTAATAGCTTATACCGATCAAAAGATACAGCTATTTTAGTAATCACATAGTCTTTCACAAGTTGAACCGTCGCTAATGTGTTTGCCTTTATCCGTCACCAACTCTCCTGATGAGCAGAAGGAGGTAATGTATACGCCTTTGTTAGCAAATGCAAGCTACAATAAGCCAATGATGAGACTGTGATCATAGAAATAGAACTCCTAGAAGTGGAATTGCCCACTGGGCCATGGCATTTTGACTTCCCCCTCATGGGTACACTCAATATGGCTGACATGGTATGCTGAATTTCCACGTTAACATGGAATGTTCATTCAAATGATGATGTGGCTTTGTAATGTCAATTGTGTTGACTGTGAATAAAGCACAAATTGAACAGTGTACTTCCAGCTTTATTTTCTGATCATGGGTACACTCAAAATGGCCGCCGGTCTGCCATCACTGACCCATTGACTTGAATAGGGATGTCCATTCTAGGAATTATATTTCTATGATTGACTTTGAAGGTAATGTATAGCTACATTTATGTTAGCTAATACAAGCTACAACATGCCAATGATGAGAAAGACTGACTTTGTGACTAAATAGGATTTAGCTAGGTGTGTCAACAAAGTGCTTACTTTCACTTGCGCATCTTCCTAGAAATAGTTAAACTCCTGAAAACAAATGAATCCCAGCAAATATTTATTCCTTATAGCAAAACCTCATGCCTCAAGCTCATTAGTGTGCTTGCTCCCTCTACTAACCACTATTGTTATCCAGCATATTCCTTTTAATTCACGTGCTTGCTTCAGTAAGACCACTACAGTTAAATAGCTGATGCAATCGCTCAAATTGTCTTTAGGAAATGTACCTTTTCTAGTTATAAATGAAGCATGATGCTTTGCAGAGTAGCCAAATACATGCCGAGGCTCTTGAGATTGCAGTCAATGTAGTAGATGATGTAATGGCTTAGAGTGTGTGTGTGTGTGTGTGTGTATGTGTGTGTATGTGTGTATGCAATGCATGTCTTTTTATCCACTCATCAATACTGGACTGAGCAGTGAACACAGAGCAGTGAACACAGAGGGGTGAACACAGAGGGGTGAACACAGGAGACCATCAGATGGCCTGACGTTTCAGAACATTTGTTTAGACATGGCAGTACCACTGACTCTGCAGACTGACAGTCAGACAGATCGACACTGCTTTGTGTCTGTGAACGTGTGGGAAAGGTCCTCCTCACTTGTACAGTATGTGGATATGTTGGGGAGCTCTGATGTTTTGGTCACCTTGACCTGGTTTGCAGGGGGAGGGCATGCAGCAACTCCCTGTCTCCACCAACCACACGGCAGGCTATCCTGCAGCTAAGCCTGTAACAGCCCAGCCCTGCAACAATTGGACGGACACAGAGCCCCTGTCAGCCAATCAGGGTCTGTCTGTCTGTCTGTCTGTGTGTGTGTGTGTGTGTGTGTGTGTGTGTGTGTGTGTGTGTGTGTGTGTGTGTGTGTTGTGTGTGTGTGTGTGTGTGTGTGTGTGAGTGTGAGTGTGAGTGTGAGTGTGAGTGTGAGTGTGAGAGAGGAGAGAGATGAGAGAGAGAGAGAGAGAGAGAGAGAGAGAGAGAGGAGAGAGAGAGAGAGAGAGAGAGAGAGAGAGAGAGAGAGAGAGAGAGAGAGAGAGAGAGAGCAGTCCTTCTGCTGAAGATTCAGGATTCTAAAGTGCAGCGTCATTCTTCCGTGAATTGGATTGCCTCTGTGGGTGTATGTATGTGCGTGAATGCTTGTATGTCCTTGTTCACCTTGAGTTATCGTTCAGCTGTGAGATTATTTATTAGGTTGGCTAGACCAGGCATATACTGTATGTCTGTTTAAACGTCTCTACCTAAGCTGTTCGAGATCAGCCTCAACACATTTACATTTTAGGTCTGTCGTAGGCCTATGTGTTGAGTCCTCTCTCCATAACCATTTCTCTTTAATCAGATCAAATAATGCTTTGGTAATTGTGGTCGTTTGTAGCTGGACTGTTGTATTTAAGAATAGGCATTTCTTCTGAGAGTCTGTGAGTATCATTACCATGAATTTAAAAGCCCAGGCATATATGTTTAGGCAATCCTTCCCCCACCTCACTTTAATTAACATGTTTATCATATCAATTCCCCTCTTGAGTGTCATATGTTTATGTTCTCTGTGTAGAGTAAAGGCTTTTACCATTGGATCTAATGCTGTAGTCTCTATTTCCATAAAGATACCTAGCAACAAATCATGCATCACTGTCAAATCTGCAAATGCATATTTATCAGTGACCAGCCCTATTAATGTAATCAATCAGCAGCCAAGATGAATGACTAGCTAGCTAGTTAATGTTGCTATTACCCACACCTCCATGGTTGGAATGCAAGAGAATGTGTTAAACATGCAGACAACATGTAACATCTAACCTACAACTGCGACACAGAGTTTTTCCTGGTTAGGTTACGTTGCCTTTAAATCATGATGCGTATGATATACTGTATCCACAGAAAGGGTGAGCGGGTGACTAGTGGATGCTTTTGTAGGCAGTGGGTACCACTATGCAGTATCTTTGTACATACTAGCTCATAACACCACCGAATGTTCTGTGATGTTAGGAATTTGATTTGAGGTTCCTCCTCTTCTATATCTGTCTGACCCTCTCTCCTGTTGTCTGTCTCAGCTGGATGACACCAGCTCTTCGGAGGGCAGCACCATAGACATCAAGCTTGACGTGGAGGAGGTGGTGGTGGTGGAGGTTGTGGAGGAGTTCTTGGACCCAGACGCCTGCTGGACAGATGGTAACTAAGAACCCACAGAGAGACACAGGCTTCAGTCTGGCCACAATAGCACTTAGCATTTCATTTATGCTAACTGATTTAAATGTAAGCCATGCCAAGTGTGGGTCTGTGAGTGTGTCCTCATCTCCAGTCTGTATGGCATAATGAGGGCATTTTGTGTGCTTGTGTAGTCAATAGTGTGTACATACCCTTAATGTATGCATCTGTGTCAGTAACAGTGTGTGTGTGCCCTCTCTTCCAGAATGTGTTGCCAAGTATACGTTTTTATACTTGCCCATCGACCATGGCTGGGGAAAGCACTGGTGGTTCCTGAGGAAGACAAGCTACCTGATCGTGGAGCACAACTGGTTTGAGACTGTCATCATCTTCATGATCCTGCTCAGTAGCGGGGCGTTGGTAAGAAGGCACACACAGTTCACCTCATACTACACCATTACGTACTGTCTTACAGTAAACCTTATCAGTTCTGACAGAATGTACTGAAATTGAATAATTAAATCAATAAATATTTTATTCCCCCTTCTTAGCGAGATCATTACTTTTGCCTTTCTTCTGCGACTGTTGCTAATGGGCAACAAAGTGCTGTAATGCACCAGCCTTTTAACGAAAGGAATCCAGCTTAGGTTGCAGCTTTCTAGGAGACTGTAGCCAAATGGTGATTCAGAACACTTACGTGTTCAGGAATGGACAAAGGGATATGGGATAGTGGGTCTGAGGGGACTATTAACCCTAAAGTACAGAGAGAGCCTGTTCCATCACATACAGTAGCCTACCTCCTCTTTCACTGCTGTGGGCGCTGACTATGTAAACACCACGCATTCTGAGAGGATTCAATACATTGTTGTATCAGAGAGAATTCTAAATTCACATTCACAAAGTTTACCATGAACGTAGGGCAGTATCAACTTTAGCACAGTTGAATCCCAAGACGTTAAAGACGCAATCAGTAAGTTAAATTGCTGTAGAGAAAAAAATACTGTATTTAAAAAAGCCACCGTAACACTTTTTGGAGGACTGAGAAAGAATGGTCTTTGCTAATGTTCCCCATTGCACCTTTAACGTTTTCAGATAATTAATATTTCAGCAGGAAAAGCAAATGTCAAAACTATCTAAAACATCTTTAACCATAGAAAGGGTCAGGAGTTTTTCACATGGCCAGGAAAAACTCAGAGGCATAATCAAAAGACAAGACGTCCAGTCATGTCAGTTTTCTTTAACATGCTGGTGTTCTGTTCCCCCCCCAGGCCTTTGAGGATGTGTACATAAATAAGAGGAAGACAATCAAGATCATCCTGGAGTACGCAGACAGCGTGTTCACCTATATCTTCATCCTGGAGATGGTGCTCAAATGGGTGGCCTATGGCTGGGTCAAATACTTCACCAACGCCTGGTGTTGGCTGGACTTCTTCATTGTGGATGTAAGTAACTTCTCCAACTGACTCTATGTTACTTCCTGCCCCCTCTTAGGATTTTCCCCCTCTTCTTTTGTGCTGGTCTCTCTTTCAATCTCTTTTTATCTCTCTTGCTTTGTCTTCTTGATGTTCTTCTTCTCTGGCTATCTTTTGTCTCTTGCTCTTCTCTCTCTCTGTCAGTCTTCATTTTATGAGAGATGATGAGCTTTAGTGTCCTCCTCCCATGTTGGATGCTGTTTCCCTTCAAGCATACTGTAGCTGTAACTAGTGTAACTAGATGACTCTTTGTTCCTGATCTGAGACAACTTTGATAATAAGGGACTTTAATATCTCAATTGACGATGCTGCAGTATGGCCATTGAGCACTGATCGCAGATTCTGGGTTATGGACAGGACACAAATCATTGAACATTTAGCCCTTCTTTCATAAATATACTCTGTAGAGGAGAGTGGGGTAAGTTAAGCCGCCTACTTTTTAAAACCATGTCTATCTTTATTTCCCAAACACAATTCAACACAATCACAATCGCTTTTTTGTTTTTATAATAATTCTAAGCATCTTTTAACACAGGCTTAACACCTAACAAACCATTTTTGAACACATTTTATTTACACTTTTAACATAGGCCAGTTGTTACGTCATATCCCAGCGATAATGCCTTGCATTATGCCGGGGAAGAAAACATTTTAATTTGCTCAACTTGCCATTGGCTCAACTTACCCCATGGCTATTGGCTCAACTTACCTCAAGGCAAACATTTTGACTATATTAGCCCACACAGCTACAAGAATGCACTTTCATGCTAGGTTTAGAACCTCATATTGAAGCTTATAGAGACCCCAACTGATGTATAGAACAATCTTTAAATTATTTACTTTGGTTTAGATACAAGCATCCTGAAACCGCTAACACAATAAATTCATTTGACTTAGTGAAAATCAGTTTTTCTTCCTTCACAGACTCCATTAAATATTGACCTCTTCTTAAATATTTGGTGAAATGATACATTTTGTGTATGGTTTCCTATAAACAAGGGTGGCTCAACTTACCCCTTTGTCTGAATCTCCTCTACAGTATGTAACTAAAACATTGTCAATTTGGCTGATTCGTCTACAAAATTTGACCAATCATTTAAGTGCATTTAAGTTTATTTAATTGAATGCTCTGCTTAGTCTCCAGCTGAAATGTTGAAAGGCCTGGCATCATTCATTGCTATTGTGGCCTTTCTCACCGTGTCTCTCTACCCTGTTTAATTAACTCTATGGGCTAGTGTGTTATCTGTTGCTGTGGAATTGACTTAAATGCCTGTCTTGTCGTTGCTGTGAGTGAACTGCTGTAATATTACAGCCTAGGATGGGAGTTGTGGTATTAAAAGTGAGTCAACAATGTGGTTTACAGTAGCACTTTACTATGTAAACAACAAAGGGCAACCACAATGTGCATATAGGTGATAGTGGGGGGGGGCATATACACATATACAGGGGTGGGGGGGAGTGGTGACAGGCAGGACGAGTGACATAGACAGTCCCAAAAAATTGACATTTTTAAGGTTTACATTTCACACATCGTAATGCCACACAAGCTCTCTTCAGTTTTGGTGTTCCAGTGTGGGGGGTTTTCATCCAGTCTAGCTTTGCCCAGTAACATTATTCTACTGTTGTGTAAAGAAGGCTGTGGTGACTGTATCTTCCCCTGTCTCTGGAAGAGCAATTGTAAAGTTATCTTTTTCCCCTTGACCTGTCCTGTTGGATGTGTTGTGTTGGGTCATGCGATGGCTGGTAAGTCAGGCCATGACTTCTGAGTCAATCATTAAACTGCATTATAAACGTACACTACATGACCAAATGTATGTGGACACCTGCTTGTCAAACATCCAAAATCATGGGCATTAATATGGAGTTGGTCCCCCCTTTGCTGCTATAACAGCCTCCACTCTTCTGGGAAGGCTTTCCACTAGATGTTGGAACATTGCTGCTGAAACTGTCCCGTTTCTCAAAGGCCATCCAACAGTCCAGAGTCCTCTGCCATTTGATGAGGAATACAAACAGTATAACATGATGTTTGCCCTTGACCCAACCCCCACCCTGCCAGTATCACATTATCATGAATGGTCATGGGAGACAGAGGGGAAGTTTTATAACAGGTGTGGTGTCCCATGGTCTCTTTGCCTCTCTGGCTCCTTGCTCCTCTCTGTCTTGTAACTACTCTACGCTGTGTCAAACCACATCTTGGGTCCCTTGGGTCTCCTTATGTAGGCTATGGCTCCCTCAAGAGTAACATTTTTGGTCTAGAATAGAATGAAATGTAAGTATGAGATGGCTCAGGCATGTGCTCATTCAACCTGTACCTTCTCTCGCAGGTACCTGTAACAGTGTCTCTCTTTAAATTAAAAGGGATGTTGTACTGCAGTCGAGAGGCTTGGGGGCTGGTAGTTGAGAGGCCAGGGTAAGGTTCTTGTGGTTTTGTCTCGGGACTCTCCCTTTCACAGGTTGTCCTCTCTCCTACTCGTCCCCACAGCCGCCCTCACCCTCCTGGCTCCCATCTCCATTCTTATACTCAACTGGTACTTTGTGAATTGTGTGAATAGTGTGCGTGTACTGTGTCATATTGAGTTTATATTTGTGAATGCCTTTCTCCTCTCAAATGTCCCCTGTTTGATTTTGCTACCTCTTTTTCTCTCTTCCCTTATTTTCCCCCTATTTTTCTGTCAACCACGTGTTTCTAACCAGGTATACTGTAGAGCCTTTTTTCAAGCTTCACCTGCCTTACAAACTAAACCAAAACAAACCCCCTAAATATCCAGAAAATACCTGGGGCACCTACTATTCCTTGAACTCTGCATAAGTTTTAACCGCTGCTAAACGTTACTCTCTTTATATACAGTATGTGTACATATACATACATACATACATACATAAACATTCATATATATGTATAAATATCTGTATGTTATTAATTTTCTCCAGCACATTGGTCCATCTATCTCTGTTACCAATTCTAACTGTTTGGACCCTCTCTCTTCCTCTCTCTCTCTCTCTCTGTGTATAGGTGTCTATAATCACTCTTATAGCTAATGCGATGGGCTACTCCGATCTAGGGCCCGTTAAATCACTACGGACATTGAGGGCCTTGAGGCCCCTTAGGGCCCTATCTCGTTTTGAAGGGATGAGGGTAAGATCTAAAACACCATGCAGCTGGTCCATCTGCATGTCCATTCATTAGTTACAGCACCAATGCATGCTATAATGAACTAGAAAACAAAAAGAAAGAAAAGCCAAATGGGGCATTTAAGAAATAAAAATATGAAATGTAACACAATTCTGCCCAAAAGGAAAATGCATGCAAAATACTACCCATGCTCATCTATGACACGCTATTTGCATGAAAATATAATTTCAGAAAGTCATGATGCAGCTGATATGAAAACAATGATTATCTAAAATATGGATCAAGTATCCATTTGAAAGCAATTTCTGGTTAATTGTAATGTTAAAATGTTGATTGGTAAAATGGCAATATGTTGCAACGCTGCCTCATCACAATGTCAAAACAGAGTATAAATTTGGAACTTGTGAAAGAAGACTGGAGAATGAAGTCACTCATCCCATATGAATGAGATGTCATTTTTAACTGAAATTGTACTCATTTTAGAGCCTTCACTTCTACTATCGAGGTCTTTCAAGCAAGAGATCCTCCCTGTACCCTTTTCCTTCAACTACTGTTTCACGCGTCTCACTCAAACCTTCCAATGTAACACATGACTTACAAGAATCACCCCAGCGAACATGACCCCATTGGCCCCATGTGGGTATTCAGTGGGCAAGGTGGGCATGGGCTAGCCCACACCAGCCCAACACGGGCTAGCCATCACCAGCCCAACAAAGGCTAGCCCAAACGAATCCCTCACCAGCCCGACATCACAGAGTTTTCAAACCCAGAGGCCAAACAGGCCAATACTTCTGGGAGCGCCTCTCGAAGCAGACTCGACAGACCAGACTGGGGTTTAGGATGTCAATGAGAGAAGTGAAAAATTCATCCTTAGTTGTTCATTTTTTTTATTGATTTCTAAAAAACGTATTAAAGTAGCTGAACAATCTTGTGGAAGTGACAAACTGACACATTAAAATATTGGTCAAAAACAACTTTATATCGAAGGAGTGCCTTTGATTTGACGGCTTGCACATGCGCAGCTTGGCGCAACACGACCATTAGACCCGATGACGTGTTTCTATTGGAGAAGCTGTTTCTGGGCATCTTCATACTAAACCATCTTTGCCGACATGGGCCAGCCATCACCAGTCCAACACAGGCTAGCCCACACCAAGCCCACATCAGCCCAACACAGGCCAGCCTACACCAGCCCAACACAGGCTAGCCCACACCAAGCCTACCCCAGCCCAACATGGGCTAGCCCACACCAAGCCCAGCACGGGCTAGCCCACACCAAGCCCAGCACGGGCTAGCCCACACCAAGCCCAGCACGGGCTAGCCCACACCAAGCCCAGCACGGGCTAGCCCACACCAGCTACTTCATAACGTAGAGGCGGGGGCTCATTAGAATATTTGTGGGCGTGGTGTGCACACAGTTCTTTTTGTGCAACCATTACTGAGTGTCATTCCAGTTTAAGGATTGCATTGTGTGATGCCCCAAAAAAGTATTGACTTGTACACTGCCAATGAAGAAGTGTTTAAAAAAGAAGAAAAAAGTACATGTTGCATATAAGAAAAATATATGTATGATAGTAACAACTTGGTTGTCTACAATGTAACACATTTGCTAAATACCTTTAAGGCTGGAAAATTATACCATTTATTTAAAGCTACAATATGTAACCTTTTAGGCGACCCGACCAAATTCACTGAGAAATGTGAGTTATAGATCTGTCATTCCCGTTGTGTGCTATTTCTATGCTTCCCGTTCGGAACTTTCGGTTTTGTACATCAGCTTGAAACAGCTGAATATACAATATTTTTGGTTATGGAAAATATAGTTCACAGCGGTTTAGATGGTACAATGATTCTCTATACAATGACTGCTTGTTTTGTCACATAAACTGAAATTAGGTGAACTATTATAATTTTTGCAACCAGGAAATGGCAGTCTGATTTCTGCATAGTGCATCTTTAAGTAAATAAGTTACATTTGAATAAATAAATAATAAATAAATGGGGCCACCTGCCCTGGGGCCAATGTGGAGCCGATGAGCAAAGGCACATTGGCTCAGTTTGGGCAGCCTACAGGGGGCCAATAGCTTAGCCCGCATAGGGCCCACATCGTACCAATGTGGGCATGTTTACTGGTACCAGTTTCCACAGAAAACAGAATGTGTAAGCTGAGCCATTGGGCAGGGCTTATTTGTTGAAGCTTTGGCATGTGACACTGACACAAAGTAAGACGCATAGTAGCATTTCTCACAGTTTAATATACCACAGTCTCATATTGGTTTTGAACTTCAGGTAGTATCATCAGTCAATTTCCTTTGATGGCTTTTACCACTTGTTGTTATTCTTGGAAATGTTGGTCTTGTCTCCTCTCCGACTTGTAATTCCTCCACAACCACCCATATGTACAACTCTGCCTACTGTTCTCCCCACCTCCCCAGTTATGTCATGTCACCAGAGTTTGGTGAAGTACTGTATATCAAGCATCAGAATTACTGTTTTTGTCTGGACTTCAACTAGCTGTAGTGGTGTGTTGCAAAACGTATTTAGCGGGTATATATTTTTGCAGAATTAACTATCTACAGTATAAAGAACAGGGGCAAGCAAAGCCCTAGAAACGTAACTCTTATTCCTGCCGCTTGATATATGCATCTAATGTCTAAGGGCTCTATTAAATCTGTATCGCTGAACCCGCGTTACCGTATTTGAACTTTAAAGGCACTGTTCCTGCGTTAGAGGAGACTGCATTCACGGAAAATGCTGCATATGTCAGCTTAATCGGAAAATACCTTTAAATTCCCACAGGGGGACAGTACGAAAAAATATAATTTAACAAAAAAATAAAAAATGTATGCACTCACTCTGGATAAGAGCGTCTGCTAAATGACGTAAATGTAAATGATCTATCATGCAATCTGTAAAGCTTCAGCGATACAGTTTGAATAGAGCCCTCAACCTCCATAATACAGGATCATTGTGCTATTATTTTTATTTCACCTTTATTTAACCAGGTAAGCCAGTTGAGAACAAGTTTGACTGATAATGCCTGAAATATTTACATGCAAGCAATGCACATACGCCAGAGAGCCATGTTTCCATTCTTGGCAACAGCAGTCGACAATAACAGAAAAACAACAACCACTGACAGTAGTAGGTGTTTTTTTTACTCACTTATTGATAAGGTACACTCATAACAACATCTTCACATAATTTAGTAGGCCTAGTTATGAAGAGGGAACCAGGTGCAGCTTCACATCATTATGATGTCCATTTAGTGAGGTTAGCTCCCTAGTCTACTCATCAAGGTAACTTGGTGCGTGTAGTTATTGAGTTATTTTGCCATAATCACTACACATTCTGAAGGAAACCTTCAGAAAAGTCCACTCATCTCAGTTCTGATTGTCTTCTCAAGGTGGGAACATGGCTCTGTACATGCACCTGTATGACTGTGCATGCCATGCTCAGCTCAGCTGTCTATCTGAGAGCTGCTGGATGTCCTGCATTAAAACATCAAATGTACATAGTCAGAGAATTACACTGTGTGCTGCAGCTGACACCGCCACCGCGTAGCCAGGCACCTTTACTTCTAAGAGTGTACTCATGAAAGGTTTCAAATAGGTACACCAAAAATGGGGCCTCAATCTAAGTATTCACCGTTTTTCTTTATTGTCACTTACACGGGATAGATGCAGTTAAATGTGTTGTTTTACAGGGTCAGCCATAGTAGTACGGTGAGTCTGGCGCAAATTAGGCCGCATTGACAGATTTTTCACCTTGTCAGCTCAGGTATTTTTCGGTTACTGGCCCAACGCTCTAACCGCAGGCTACCTGTCGCCCCATTTTAACACCAGTATACCTCATTGGTGACATCAGTTGCATATGATAGAGTAATAGTAACATATAAGGCAATAGTCAAGATAAACCAAACTGATGTGCAACTCACATAAGGTATACAACCATTATCTCTGAGAGGAAGTGGGTTTATGTTTGTATATATGTGTGAGTTGTATCTCATGCTGCTCCTGTTACCCTGGTTACGTGTGCAGGTGGTGGTGAATGCCTTGGTGGGAGCCATCCCCTCCATCATGAACGTGCTGCTGGTGTGCCTCATCTTCTGGCTCATCTTCAGTATCATGGGGGTCAACCTGTTTGCAGGGAAGTATTACTACTGCTTCAACGAGACCATAGAGGAGAACTTTAAACCTGACGTCGTCAACAACAAGACGGAGTGCTTTGCACTAATCAACGCAAATTACAGTGAGGTCAGATGGAAGAATGTCAAAATTAACTTTGACAATGTGGCTGCAGGATACCTGGCACTTCTTCAAGTGGTGAGTTCAAGGTCTTTCCTATCAGTGTTTTGACTTTTAACTCCTTTGGCCGTAACCCCTCCCACTGTGGAGGTCAAAGTTGAATGGACATTGAATGGTACTTAGACTGCAGGAGTCAATTCTCATATTTTTCAGTCAATGGCTTCCTATTGTACCTCTATCTCCTTTCAACACCTCATCCTCATTTTCCTCTCTTTCTGCTTTACCTTCATTCTTCTTCCTCACTTTTCTTTCCCCTTTTTCTCATGACACTATATATCCCCTCTCTCACAGGCCACATTTAAAGGCTGGATGGACATAATGTATGCGGCCATTGATTCACGGAAGGTATGCCTGTCACTTGTATGAGATTTGTCTCCCTTTTGTTTGGTGGTTGGTATTGTGTGAACAGATGTAACGTGTTCCAGAAGAACCTACCAATACTAACTTGTTGCGAAAGGGGCTTTTGAACCCACAACAGGCAATGTAATGAGGGACAATTTGGAGCTTGAATGTATTTTTCCTGCTCTCTGTAGGTGGAGGACCAGCCGATCTATGAAGACAACATCTACATGTATATCTACTTTGTTGCCTTCATCATCTTTGGCTCTTTCTTTACCCTCAATCTCTTCATTGGTGTCATCATTGACAACTTTAACCAGCAAAAGAAAAAGATAAGACCTATTTTCCTTATTCCATGGACCTGTTGATAAGATAAAACTAGGTTAAGAACAAGTTCCCACATTATTTGGCTCAACAAGATTGTAACCAGATGTTTTCTTGTCTCCCTTTACTTTGGAGGTCAGGATATATTCATGACAGAAGAGCAGAAGAAATACCACACTGCCATGAAAAAACTTGGCTCAAAAAAACCACAAAAACCTATTCCGAGACCACTGGTAAGTCTCTTCCTATGGTTCCTTTAGCCCAAGGGATACTTTGGGGGAGGGGTAAATTAGGAGTTCTCATTAAGGTAACATTCAAAAGACATTTCGAAAACTAAACTTTACTAACCAACAGACCTTTCAGAATGTACCCTAACAAAATGTGTCTTGCTTTCATTTGTTGAATCTACTAACGTCTCTTTATCCATCCTCCATCATTTTTTATATTTTCTCTCAGAATAACTTTCAGGGCCTGGTATTTGACTTCGTGACGCAGCAGGTCTTTGATATATCTATTATGATGTTGATCTGCCTCAACATGGTGACCATGATGGTGGAGACGGACGATCAGTCAGAAGAAACTGACAATATTCTCTACTGGGTCAACTTCGTCTTCATCGTTGCCTTTACTACCGAGTTTGTGTTGAAGCTCTTTGCCCTTCGCCACTACTACTTCACCATTGGGTGGAACATCTTTGACGTGGTCGTGGTCATTCTCTCAATTGTTGGTCAGTGGTGATTTTATCCCTTTCCTCCTACATGCAGTTTGCCTATTGTCTTCTATGCCTGGTATTTGTTTGTTGGCCTCCTCTGTAGCTCAGTTGGTAGAGCATGGCGCTTGCAACGCCAGGGTTGTGGGTTCGATTCCCATGGGGGGGCCAGTATTGAAAAATGTATGCACTCACTAACTGTAAGTTGCTCTGGATAAGAGCATCTGCTAAAATGTAAATGTATTTGAGTGCTAGAACTTGAGTTGCTGTTTTAATTACTAGAAATGGGTTGCTCTATTTTCTATCAAAAATAATCTGTGTAGATGTATCACATTATTATGGAATTTAAGGCTTGGGAAAGTGAGATCGTGTTAACATCTCCCCCTAGTGGCCCAACAGTCACAGGACAGTTTGTATTATTATTATTTTAAAATAGGTTATGGATTTAAGGAAACATTGTAAAATTATTGCAGAACATACCAGCAATCATACATTTCTCCCTATCCTCGTCTCTGTCTGCTTCTCTATCCAGGCATGTTCCTCGCAGACATCATCGAGAAGTACTTTGTCTCTCCAACCCTCTTCAGGGTGATCCGACTGGCTCGAATCGGCAGAATCCTGCGTCTGATCAAAGGGGCCAAGGGCATTCGGACTCTACTGTTTGCCCTGATGATGTCCCTTCCTGCCCTGTTCAATATCGGGTTGTTACTCTTCCTGGTTATGTTCATCTTCTCTATTTTTGGCATGTCTAACTTTGGCTATGTCAAGCATGGGGCAGGAATCGACGACATGTACAACTTTGAGACATTTGGCAACAGCATGATCTGCCTGTTTATGATCACCACATCTGCCGGCTGGGACGGTTTGTTGTTACCCATTCTCAACTACCCCCCAGACTGCGACCCACAACTGGAGAACCCAGGTGCACCAAATACAGGCGACTGCGGCAACCCCTCCGTAGGGATTTTCTTCTTTGTCATGTACATTATTGTCTCCTTCCTAATCGTGGTCAACATGTACATTGCCATTATCCTTGAGAACTTCGGTGTCGCGACTGAAGAGAGTGCTGACCCGCTCAGCGAAGACGACTTCACGACCTTCTACGAAATATGGGAGAAGTTCGACCCAGACGCCTCGCAGTTCATCACCTATGGCAAGCTTGGTGACTTTGCAGACTACCTCGAGCACCCGCTCCGTGTTCCAAAGCCCAACACCATAGAGCTGATCTCCATGGACTTGCCCATGGTGAGCGGGGACCGGATCCACTGCCTCGACATTCTGTTTGCATTCACCAAGCGGGTACTAGGCGATACCGGAGAGCTGGACATGCTGAGGGATCAAATGGAACAGCGCTTTATTGCAGCGAACCCGTCCAAAGTGTCTTATGAGCCCATTACCACTACTCTGAGGCGCAAGCAGGAGGACGTGTCGGCCAAAATCATCCAGCAGGCCTACCGAAACTACCTGGCTAGACGTGGCTTCAAATGCAAGCGCAGACCGGCCAATAACAATAACGTAAAGAATGGGGGGACGAATCCGGAAAAGGAAAAGAAGGAGAGCACGCCCTCCACTGCCTCTCTCCCCTCCTATGACAGTGTCACCAAACCTGACAAGGAAAAACAGGATGAGAACGAAGGAAAGGCAGGGAGGAAGGAGAAGGGCAGAAACCAAAAAGCCGTCAGGGAATCTAAGTGTTAGAATATTGGAATAATAATAACAGTAATAACAATAATAACTATAATAATGTAACTTCAAGCAAAGCGAGAGGAAACCATCTAACCCACACAGATGTACAGATTATTTCATTTGCAAGAAAGAAAAATAATAATATTAATAATTTTGTTTACAGACTTCATACTATCGATGCAGAGTGAAGCAGCTCCGTCTCTTACAGCTTAAAGAGACTTGAACTTGATTTAAACCAAACATAATCAACGTACTGTGTGACATTGTTGCATCTAGACTACTGATCTTAACAAAATGGAATGAAAAACAGACAAAATATGAAAGAAATGGGCAGATAGTTCACTTACTGGTGGACTACACATAAGGAACATAACCTTTCACTAAGAGGAATGAATGAAAAACACAGATAAGGGATCTAATGTGTGGGATTCCCGCCACCAATGGATTCCCATGGAAATACAGAGCTATGCAGGAAAAACATGGAAATACTGCTCGACTTGAAGAATCACCTCCCAAAAGCAGTCAGAAAGGACTCTGTATCATCATTTAGACATTCATGGAGCACATTTATGGACATTATCAGTCTGTATGAAGAACCAGAAGAACAGCTGAGGAGAGAAAGACAAAGCCCCAGAGTAGCCTAATGTAATGGTTTTCTATTTGGGTTGTTAATGATGAATATACTTGTATCTCCACATAATTTGAGCGGTAAAAAACAAAAACAACAATCAACATATTTCCCATGTCACATACCTCTTCTTCACCTTCTATCTTTGTTATACCCACATCAAACGGCTTTTACTACATGGGCTTTCACACCGATTTGTTAAGGGACTGTTGATTAGGTAGTCATCTTGGGCCAAGGGCTTACATTTACTCAGTCATATTTCCAAACAAATACATAAATAATTGTGCTTGTTCAATGCATAGAAATGACTTGCATGATGGCATGTTTTGATCAGAAATCTTGCATGAATAATCATAGTCCACAAGACACTAATAGTCAGACCACAACAGTGGCTCGACCATAGGTTTGAGGTTGTCCACTGTCAAAAATTCAATGTTAGAAGTAAATCATTAGTATTATGATGAGAAACTTTGTGAGGAATGAATACCAACATTGTGGATTTTATGAGGATAAATACAAACTCATTGGATTGCTGCTATGGGATGCAGAAGAGAAGGGAATGGATGTATGTGTGTATGTATCATTGAGTGGATTTGGTGGATCGTTTTAAATCTAAAAAAGCGTATACATAATTTGAATGCAGCAATATCACTTACCTAATCGACCATGCCATCTGCCTTTGTTTTTGTGTTGGATGAGGGCATTGTGGGAGTGTCTAAGTGTGCAGGGAATTGACAGGTGTAGCAAGGTGGTTTCCATTTCTGATTTTTCTCTAAGGACAATTTAGACTGTTCTACAAGGTTTAAGTGTGGAAAGAATGTTGTATTTCTGTTTCCAATAACTGCTGTTTTATTCTTTACTATGTGCTGATTCATTTGTACATGTTGTTATGGTTAACTAGTCTGTATCATTTTAACATGTATTTTCAGCCATATCTATAATGATGTTGAGGGAGTTAATCTTGTGCTTGGAGATTAGAGAAAAACAGAAATTGGTGTATGTGAATAATATGTGGAGAAGCCTTGTTGCTCATCGTCACCCCTTGTCCTTGGAATGGAAGTGGGTGGACAGTACCCCCTGCTGCCTATTCAGTTTTTTGCTGTCATTGTTAGACAGAAATCCTGGAACTGTACGCAATGCTTGAAGAGTTCACCCCTTTATCTCAGGAGATATTACACATGGATTATAATGAGCTCTGCAACTAAATGCAAGTGAATGTGATGATGAGAGTATTTATGAAAACACTTTTTCCTATGATTTTGTGTGATGTTATGCCACGCTATTGGACAATGGTCTCGGCTGGCAATAGCTAGGGCAGCCAGTGTGTCAGGGGCCACTTTAGAGCTTCCTGCAAAATACACGTAGAAATACAGGGCTAGAAGCATCTCAGTGAAACAGCAACATTTCGCTCGCTTGTAAGGGCAGCGTTTGTATCGATAGTAAATTATATTTGTGGTTGTATAGCTATGGACTTAGGTCATGTCTGAATAAAATACAACAATAACAATAATACTGCTCACCCCAATATCAGTCATAGGTACTTAGGAAACAATGTGAGGAGATGTCATGAAAGGGAATATGGATTTGTTGGTTTGAGCAGAACACTACATTCGTTGAGAGGCAAAACAGCTATGTGAGCACTGGAGAGTAGGCCCCATAATTCAATATTTGAGAAAAATGTGCTCCAAAACCTCTCATCAGCCATTTACTCAACTTACCTAGCAAGTATATCTTGTAACAAATGCCAAATAATGAACAGAGCACTTGATGCATTGTAAAGGTACTGTGAGCCGTAACACGATAACAAGACACCCAAGCTTTTGTGCAGTGATGTCACTACCTTCCTGTTTATGAATAAATCCCCAATCCCCTTCTCGTTCTATGGTCTAGTTGCTGCATGAGATCTCCAAAATCAGTGTGGGTGTTAAGTTGAACCAAATAAAACTCTGAATGATAAGCATAAAAGCTACTGCTGTCCATTTTTCTCCATGCCCATCAAGGATATACATGTATAATTGTATAAACAGAAAAATGTAAAAACCTTACATACATCCATTAAAAAAAATATATTTACAAAAATGGAATAAATAATGTACAGTTCAGGCTGTATTACTGAAAAATTACTGAAAAGTTAAGAATTAACTTTAAGAGACTATAAATAATGTAATATATCATTTTATTTTATGCGTGCATGCATGCGTAGTTTTTTGTAAATACAGAAATACTTTAGAAACTACTGCTATTAATAATCTAATATGAAATATGAATAACCATAAATAGAATGGCTTCCAGCTGACACCCCTTGTCACACTTGTTAGACTGTGACACATTTGTTAGGTGGAGTAGATTTTTGGAGTCACTTTTCACAATAAAAAAGGGAGTAACTAAAAAAATCTATATCAAAAATAAGAAATGATGTAAAAATATATATATAAATCAATACATATATAGAGCTATACACATACACATATATATATATATAATATATTCTAATATATATATAATATATATATATATATATATATATATATATATATATATATATATATATATATATTAGAACTATGCCCTCTACTCTCCCTTCCGCTCCTTGTACTGAGGAGAATGCAGTACCACAGACTGTAACAACTCACATTTCTTTTTTGTGTGCAATATGTTCAGTGAATGACCAAAACTCTGGCCTGCCCAGGATCTCAATGTACTGGGAACCAGCGTTGTGCATGGTATTGTACTGGCTGCTTGCTGAGGAATGTGTAGCCTGCGTTGGTGAGAGGATTGCACTACCAGCACACCCTTTTGTACATGTGTGAAGATGTCTTGCCCACAACTTCCCACTGAATATAAACACACAAACACACTCCACCCTGAGACAAGCCGGCGCTGGCCGGTCATTATGCCCCAGTATCCTGAGACTCAGGTCGCCTTGTGTGACAGCTTTTTTCTCATTTTAGCTCTGACCTTCCTCCAGGTTCCCCCTAAACACACTAGTGCAGTTCGGATTTAACATTTCATTTGGTTGTTATTTTCTAAACGATGCATCTGATAATTTCAAGGATTATTGTCTTTGTTATTTGTATTTGTTTCTTGGTGCAATATCTCTTAATGGCATGTGCCTTTTAGCTGCCTATTTAGACTTTAAAATACATTAGTAAAGAGGATATATCCAAACCCATTGGTTTAGTGAATCAAAATGGAGCGGAACTACATCACCTAGACTAGATCAATTGAACTAACATCTTAGAGTCATCTATTGTAAGTGCTCTCTCTGTATTCTGTTCACTGATCATTTAGCCGGTGAGAGAGCTTGCCTTCTGTTTTACACTTGGGTTCAATTCTGGTGTGGATTTATGAAATGATTTATGCAGCCTTTATTTTGTAGCATGACTGAGATCTGTTATTTGTTGGGGGTTTTTTGTTGCTGAAAATATATTTCTTAAGCTTTTTGACTGTCATTTTTTAAATCTCTTGCCACTAATACAGTCAGAGAGACGACAGAGTGTTGCACAACCACTTGGGACTAAGTGAGAATCAGTGAAAGATTGTCTTCATTTGAGCACGAATCTATTTCCAAACAATAAAGCAGCCTTCCAGTTACGCTTCATAGTGGTGTCTTATTTTCTAGAAGATGATGAATTATAATTTATTTGACATGAGAGGAAAACGTTTCTCTTTTGGTTTTCATCACATACTTTAAAAGGAATATCAGTGTAGATGTACAGTAATAAACAGAAAGACTAGTCATCTGAAGTCACAGCAAGGTCAGTGGTGGATCTAACCAGTAACTGGCCATACATTTATTAAAAGGACAGTACCTCAAGTAGCACGGCATGGTGTGGTGTGCTGTGTGGTGCAGTAGTGTGAACTGAGATGAGGGCAGATGTGTGTGTAAAGTGGCCCACTGAATGAGAGAGGGAAGGAAAGATGGAGGAGGGTAAAAACTGCACTGCAGTGCAGATAGATGAATGCAGTGGCCTGGGCTGAGTCAGCAGCAGCCTGCTCTCAATACTGTAGTGTACTGTAGACCTCCCTCCCTCCCTGTCCCACAGCCTACTGCACATGGGGGGAAGGGGAAGGAAGTAAGAGAGGAACAAGTACATCAGCAGTAGGAAGACAGAGAGATGTTGGGATTTATTCATGTGACAAATGTAGGCTATGTATTTCAATGTCAAAAATACCTGGGCATATCTAAGCTAATATGTGAATGTGCAATTGTAGACTCCTAAATCATACAACCAAACAGACATTTTGTAATAGACTCATAATATATGGCACCGTGTCCTCCTCCCTATCTTTCTCCCCTTCCCCATCCATATGTTCTTGTTCTCTACTCTTTTAATAAATAGAAAGCCTAACCAGCACCTGGGGTGGATCGGGGAGGGGTCAA